CAACAGGCTGCTGAACTCTATCGTCTTGGCCTCAAGCATGAGCGCTCTTCCGCTTTCTTTGCGCTACTATCCGTGGTTGCTTTAATGAGTGCCATGGAAAAAATGCGTGCTCGCATACCCTCTGGGTTCAAGCAAGTGCCATCCGAGGTATACAGCGCGGTCTTCCAACAGATCGGCGGCACGGGCACGAGGAAGACATTTGACAACAAGATGAGCCGGTCTCGCAAACTTGCGAGGGTTTTTAACGACAAGTGCAGAGGTCTTTTGCTTTTCGTTTGCTTCGACAACGATGGCCCTTCGACTATCTCGGCTTTTACGAAGATGACTGATGACGATGTTGCGGAACTTCACATGGCTATTGACAACGACCAACGGGCAGGTGCGCTAGCCCGCTTCGGCAATAAGTTCTTGGGCTGTATTTTGGAAAACACTGCTTTCCATAACGGAGTTTGGGGGGATCGTCCTTACCGACAACTGGAAGAGATGGCCGACGAGAGTTTGTTCGACTTCATTACACAGACAGGGATCTCCAAGTAGTTTTCATCAGGATATGGCAGTTTGTCACGCGAATCTTGCTAGGACAACGCACATTTTTTGAGTACGCGACTGTTTAGCTGGCGGTCGTGCACGGGCCATCGACTTTCCCGACGCCGGGAAATTTTGTGGCCCGTGCACGACCGCCAGCAAGTGCAACCACTGCAAAAAACCATGCAATAATAGTACGGCACATCACGGCGTACACTTATTGCTTAGCAGGGCATTAACAGTCCTTAATACTCAAGTTATATCGCTTATAAATTTAACGTAAATCTCAATAGGAGTTGTTGAATTACAGGGTCACGATACCAACGGTGCATTACAGCGTTTATTAGTTGGATGGAGGGGCAAAAACGCAATGATCCGGATCAGAATCAAGAAAACCCTCAAGGATATGGGGGTCACCGAGCTGATGTACGTCAGCAGGAATGGGATCGAGTGCAGGGGACAACAGGCCCGGGCTAGGGACCCGGAGGACTCAGACCTGGAGGAGGAACTACCAATCGTGGAGGTCGGAAAGCTGGAATAAGGGGACATAGGGCCCAAAGGAAAGAAATGAGGATAGGGGTAGGGTTTTACAGTTGCCTCGTGGTTAGAACTTTCCCTGTACCTAGCCTCCTTGAGCCGGCGCAATGCGGCCACAGAAAAGCTGCCCAGCCACCGCCGCAGGCACGTCAGAGACCCGCAATGGTAGGTGCTCGCCGGGAATGGCACGTGCAAGTGCACGGGCTAGCACCCGAGGCGCTGACGTTAATGAATTCTTCTTCTTCTTCTTCTTCTTCTTCTTCTTCTTCTTCTTCTTCTTTTCTTCTTTCTTTTCTTCTTTCTTTTCTTTCTTTCCTTCTTCTTTTCCTTCTTCTTTTGCTAGTTCTTAGTTCTACGTCTGCGTTTGCTTTGCTTCATTCTTCTGCACTGCGTTCTCCTTCTTCTGCTTCTC